TTACTGGTATTTATATATTTATCTATCTATTTATCCATGTCTTTGTCTATCTACCTTTTTGTTAATATATATACATATATGAATATCTATATACTTATACATAATTTATTTTGTTATTACCCTCCCTTAGTATTATTGTAGACTATAAAATACCCAATTTAATTATTACTTAATGAACAGGAGGAACATGATAATCTTAAAGTAGACTCTTCTACAGATAAAATGCTTACGTGGCAAGATTATAAATCAATGATCTTCACTCAATGTGTAAGTCACCTTTTCTTATTGATCTTCTTCTATAATTTATTTATTTTTAAGTACTATAAAAATTTTTATAGTTGCCATATACTATCAACAATCTTGAATTTTGATGATGATTCTTAAACAATTAATTAAACTTATTATACTAAAAGTTTAAACTTATCAAAGACCAAATAATCAATTATTTTTTAATCTGACACATTCTTTCATATACAAGTCCATTAGATTAAAAATGCGGATAAAGTATAAGTTCATCAAATCTTTTTGAAATTAACTTTTAATGGAAATTAGATAGCTATATTTGGATAATAGACTTGTAACTCTAATATCATTTTAAAATCTTGAACAAATAGAAAATAATTTAATCAATTATTTATAATCTAAGAATGACAACATTTTTCATAATACTGAATATGTAGTCCTACTTGTTGTTGGTGCAGGTTATTGATGAAACTCTTCGACTCGGGGGAATTGCAATCTGGTTGATGAGGGAGGCGAAAGAAGATGTTGCATACCAAGGTACAAAATATATACATAAATAAAATATATTTTTATTTTACTCGTTAAAATCTTCATGAAGTGTGTTATTTGAACATAGATGTATATATGTAATAATAATAAAGTGATGAATGGTGTAAATTGCAGATTATGTAATCCCCAAAGGATGTTTTGTTGTTCCATTTCTCTCAGCAGTTCATATGGACGAGAGTTTATATAAAGGATCTCTCTCTTTCAATCCTTGGAGATGGTTGGAACTTAAAAATCAGGTACTTTTAATACCGTTATAATAATTACTTAATTAATATATAAATATGGACATACATCACATTCCACCTAGTTAGTTTGGTTTTATTGTAATTTAATTCATTTGACTTTTTTTTTTGTCATTTTTAGTGAAAAAGTATGAATATATTCAATCAAACAATATGAAAATTGTCTTATCCCAATAAGAAAATTGAAAAATAACAGGACTCTTGAACAAGAGTAACCATATCATGCACATTTAAAGCTTTTATAGGCAAAGTTAGTCATAGATGACAATAAGTTAATAATAGAGAACATGAAATATATCTTGTAGGAGCCATGTATGGTGTGATGATGATGGACAACATGTTAATCATAGAGAACATGACATATATCTTGTAAGAGCCATGTATGGTGTGATGATGATGGATAATAAGTTAATCATAGATGACTCATTTTCTAAATGTATTATGCATAGGGGCGTGATCTTAATGGGTGGTTGATCATTTTTTTTCCATCTTCTCTAAACATTATATAAATAATATCCACCTAAAATCCCTTTTGAACCGGTTGTATCCTTCATAAAAAATATGTATTGACACATTTTGGCTAAACAAAGCTTACTCCATTTGATTATGAAATCATTTGAAGTTGATGTGTCTCTAAAACATTGTCTACTCCCAATTGAAAATAACATAATCTTACTTCATATTCACTTTCTTTGTAATGGGACAAAACCAACTTATTTAGGGGTAAATAGTAGCTTAGAGGGTCCGTTATTTTTATTCCAAATATCTCAGACAATATAAGAAGGGGTAGATTATATATCTAAAAATTAGCTAATTTTAAGATTTGGCTCAATGAAAATTTTCAAGTTGATGTTTAATGGGACGAAAATATATTTTTGAATAATTAAATCAAATTTTATCTATGAAATCTCTCAAAAATTTGTTTAATAAATGAAAAAATGAACAATATATAAAAGCCTAAAAAGGTTTTAAGTGTTACCTCAAAATTCCTTACTTAAGAGTAGATAGCAAAATGAAGTATAAGAAGATCCAAAATTTAGAGCTTACGAGAAAGTACAGAGATTTTTGTTTCAAAATTTAATTTTGGCTCTTCAAAATCATAAAAATGTAGGTGAAATTTTTGTATAGTGCCAAGGTTAAACCAACGGTTAGACAAATAAAAAAAAAACGTTTTTGAGTATTAAATATGTGCAAAACACATAAAAAAACGTGTTTGCAGAGTGTATGTCGAGTGTATGTGATCCTCACATCATCACTTGCATTCTTATTGTGAGCCTCACATTCTTTACATGCTTCCTCATAATGAGCCTACTAGTTTAGTTATTTTAAATAGTCTCTTATTCAAAATTCCTTCTAATTTTTCTATAAAAAAATATTTTTCACATAAAACTCATAAAAAAGTTGACTTCAATATATATTTTTCATTTTGTAACATAAATTAATTTTTTAAAAAAATTATTAAAAAATTTATTAACCTTTCAAAAAGCTTTAAAATTATGTTGCAACAAGTTTTCATATAAATAATTTCAAGAACAAAATTAAAAGACTTCAAATTGGATGTTTCAATAATCTTGAGGTAAAAAGTAAAATCACTTGCTTTCATTAGATGGTGTATACATAGAGATTTACTTATTCAATTTTGTTCTCTTCTGAATGCATCCATTTATATCTAAGTATCACATCTTTCATTTCCTCCTTTTTTCGTCTATATCCAACCAATTTTCAAGCTCTACTTCCACTGCTTTAATTTGATAAAAATATTCTTTCAAAAGTTAACTTAAAGTAATATTAATATAAATTAAATATTTGTCATTTCATCAAAATTAATGCATGTATTTAAAGAATTTGAGAAGCCTCCTGATGGTCAAATAGATTGTTAACTATATATTGTTTTTCATACAAGTCACCTTGGATCAATAATGTCAAACACTAAGAACTAGGAAGGGATAAAATATTGGTCAAAGGGGTAGAATATTATGACCTACTTGGGTTGTTAGTCATTTGTTAGCCCAAATGAGGGTGTTATGGCCATTACCTATTTGCCATTAGAGCTAATCATACAATAAGGTACTTATTACCGATAAGCTTTGTCACGTGTAACTACGTTTTAGTTCCAATTGTGCTAAACAAAAATCCATTTTTGAAATATTTTATTTTTAAAAGGTTGAAAATGGATTTTGACTTGTTTATCAATCATTAGCCCTATTTGTAAGCAAGGCAATATTGAAGTTATGAAAATACCTAAATTCTAATTTGCCTTCAACTTTTATCGGAGTATACTGAATTTTGTTATCACTAAGTTTTGTCCCATCAAGATTTTTCAATAATGGATTCAATTTTAATGACATTCAAATTTTTGAATAAAAATTGCTCACAAGATATAAGAGGATTGCTTTTGCCACTGTTTTAATCATCATTTTCTTTCATGCTTTAAATAGCTTTGCCATTTCCTAGCTTTAAGTTTGTTCAGCTAATCTTTTCACTAAAAGTCAAAGATACTTTCAAGAATCCCCTAATCGTTCTTGGTAACCTTATATACTTTCAAGGTGCTCATATCTTCCAGCTAATACTCCTATTGAAAATATGATTTATGATTTTTGTAAGTTGATGGGTTGAACTAATGCCACCTTGTAGATTCTCAAGATGACCTTTAGAGTTATCACTTTCATCCACTTTTGCCTTTTGCTTTCTCAAATATGATGTTATTATCAATAAAGAATAAATGTGTGATTGATAAACTAACTACAGATATTCTAGTCTTATATATTCTCCTTTCTATTTTAACCCTTTTGATCGTTACTAAAAAACCTTCTGCATATAAGATAAAAATAAAAAGTGTAACGGTCCCGAAAATTTAAAAAGAAATACATATAATAATCTGAGTGCGAAAGCGAAATAAAAGGTTAAGGTTAACATTCATTACACAATAATTTAAAAGTACTAAACAATATCACGGAATAAGTTCTCTAAAAGAAATACGATAAATGAGAAAAATAAAGGAAACTATAAAGAATCTAGCATCTACTCGACGTCTTCTTGTGGATCGGACTCGGGAACCAAGTCCTCCTGATCTGAAATGGTTAAATAAAGGAACGAGCTACACTAACCTAGTAAGGACATCACACTATATCACCGTCATAGAAGTAAAGGTAGAAAACAAAAAAATAACCAATGGAGCACAAATTTTAAACCAATAATTATTAAAATAAACTACTTACCGGTTTTTC